TTTTAGTATATTACAATAAGAATAATAACATATATTTCATATGAATATAACCTGTTAATCTTACCTTAGTTAACTGCTGAACAAAGGTCTACGATTCGTGCAAATGCCATGCAATGAACTCAGCAGGAGGGCAACACCAAGGAGCAAGCGATTGCGCTGCGCAATGGAAACTTCGAAGATGCCGACGATAAGGTCAAGTGCTATGCCAATTGCTTTTTGGAGAGGGCTGGCTTTATAGTCGAGGGTCAGATCAACGGAGATGCGGTGCTGCAGAAGCTGGCGCCCGCCGCCGGAGCGGATCAAGTGAAGGCCGCTCTGGCCACCTGTGCGTCGATCAAAGGTGCCAATAAGTGCGACACCGGCTTTCAGATCTATCGATGCTTCTATAGGAATCGGGCTTGGGCCTAGAGCTTAGCTAAGTAGTTTGAAATAAATCTTTAAGCATATTACTAAGCAACCTTTTCTATTAGTGTTAAGCTCAAGTATAAATTCATGTTTCTCTATAAAACAGTTTTTATTCGTTCGACCTACCTCACAAATTTACAGAAAAATTTTCCTCCCATTTTCTTTTAATTTTTGGCTATATAACTTTAGAACAGAATCCGAAAATAAAATAAAAAATAAAAAGTCTTCAAAATTACCGCTAAAATGTCGTTAAACAGGAATTCCATACAAATTAAACTGCTGAAAAGTTTGTTGAATTCCCGCAAAACAATTGCCAGCCGGACCATATTTGACATATCCAATTTGAGCGACTTTGAAAAGAAAGTACGACGTTCAAAGAGACCAGTTTTAGTAAATTTTTATGCCAGGTCAGTGCACTAACCGTAGACTAAACTATACCAGCTATCGATCAAGTGTTTTATCCGAATGCCGTTTAGTTGGTGTACGCCCTGTAAAGCTCTCATGCCCCGCCTCAAATGTATTATAAATGAGCAGAGAGGCAATATGGAGATGGCGCGCATTGATATCGATGAATTGACAGATCTGGCATTATCGTATAATGTGGGTACTGTGCCGTCGATACTGATTATGCACAAGGGCCAGGAGCTAAATCGCTTGGAGGGGCTGCAGCCATCAGAACAGATAAGAAATTGGTTAGCGACGGTTATCAAAGAGAGTGCGCCCGATTGCATATTTGTGAAAAAGTGATTTGTTTTTTATGTTAACGCATTCACAGACAATAACTATGAATAAACACGTTTTTAATTAATTTTTTAGGACTTTAACCAGCACCGTCTATTGTCTGCCGTCTACCGTCTACCGTTTGCCGTTTGCCGTCTGGCGATTTACCAGTGCAAATATCGGTGCCGGCAATTCAAAATGCAAACATAGTCTCGGCTCTACTCTGTTCGCCTGTTTCTCAAACAGTTTGTGAATCAGCGCCAGAGTTGGGTGAGCCAACAACAAATACAATGGGTAGCAGCTCGTGTATGCTCAATTGTTTGTTTATTTGCTAGCCAAAAACAACAAAGATACTGTGCAACTCTCTCCATCTCTCTCTGTTTGTATCTATATATCCATCTACAACTCTGTCCATCCATCTCTATTTGCTTTTGCTGGTTATGTCCTGGGCTTAGGGGACTACACTCTAATTGATTTTGGTAATGTTGCTTTTTAATGAAGTGTCAAATGCGTGTTACTTGGTTTGGGTTTGTGTTTCGCTTCGGAGCATAGCTTCAAGATGCATGTCATGCTACAGAACAATGGCTGATGAAGTATTAAGTCCTTGTACTCCCAAATGACTCCAATGAAACTACACTGAAAACGGTTTGTCGTAAACGGCAAGAGCTTAAATTAAATTGAAGAAATCTGAGCAGATAATTTAGCTAGTATATTATTTCTATAATATACAAATATTCTATTTTAATTTGTACTTGTATATGCATATATTTGATACACTTTGACATTAATTCTTATATAAA